TGAAACCATGTCTTTTTGAGCCATCACCGTCTTCAGGCCATGTCAGGACCGTCAGGAACATCCGACAGCCCCTGGTACAAACTATCAGCTGTGTAACGATCAGACAAAACTCTCATCAGCGCACAACTAAAACAGCACTAGCAGTATCGTATCGTAGAGGTCACCAACAGATGGCGCCAGCGGCGGGGCCCCCCGACTCGCCAGCCGCCACCCGGGCAGTGACCTTGACATCAACAAATGACCTTGACGACGCACCATCAGATTCACGCTCGGACGAGGCGTGGACGCTGACGTCACAAGCGTCCCCATGATTGCCGTTGCTGCCACCAGTTTTTAAACGCTCAAGCTCGGACGCACTCATCCACACGTCTATGTACATTTCTACGAAGCAGGTATCTATGTACAGTACGCGTTGTCAGATCGTCAATTTAAATATCTTTGGTGTACAGCATTTTTCGGGCTCAATAACCGCCCGCGCCGCTCAGAGCCTTGCTTTCTTCTGAGATCGGCGGATAACCGCCTTGAGCCGGCTGTGTCCGGATGAAACCAGCCATAACCGGATTCAACCGGCTGTGATTGTAGGCCCTGTGCATTTTGAGCGCCGCCGCAGGTTTGCGTAGCCGCAGCTTGCTAGAGTTTGCGCTGGGGTTTGGAGCGCCACCTATGAGCGGCCCCGAGCACTGCTGGTTGAGCCGGTCACCGCCAGGGGCTGGCTGACGGCGACAGCTGCTCAGGACCGAGCCCCGAGGAGCTGAAACAAAAGAAAAAACGTCATAGAATGAGATGACACGTTTACACCATCAAGTCTGAGTCGAGATGTTGCTCAAATTCAGTCGCTACTTTTCAGCGTCAGGAGGCTTCTAGAAAAAGCCTGGGCAACAAAAACGTCGGCCAATTTAAAGGGAACGATAGAGCAGTGGTGGTTGGGACACTATGTACGTATTGGCCCCACTAAAAGCTTTCCATGTAGGTATGGTATTCCAAACACCACTTGGAATATCTTGCGGTATGTAATTAGGCTCAAACCACTGCAGCCATATGACTACAAAAAACAGCGTGTACTTACATCATTTACTGAGCAGTCCGCCGGCCGACGATGAGTAGTTGTAGCCGCGTACCCGGCGTACTGCGGGTACGGGTAGCTGCTGTAGTCGGGCATCTGAACGGAGCCTGGCAACGGAACAAACAAAATGGCGTCACACGGTGGCAACGGAACAAACAAAATGGCGTCAGACGGGAGACGGCTACTGATAGAAGCGGGCTATTCAAAGGCTTTTTTATTTTTATTTAATCTTAAAAAAGGGGGAAGTTTCTAGGGTAGGTGGTTTTACTGAAGGCCAGTCGTGAATAATTGACCAGTCGTGGCCGAATTGTCGTTAAACGGTCCATTGTCCACAAACATGGTCCACTGTGCCTCATTGAACGCTCAATGGCCTCTGACCAACAGCTCGTAATTCGGGGCAATATTACATCAATTTCTGAGGGAAAACAAGGAGTATTCTCGAGCGTTCCCCGAAAAATACAGCAGCAAGCTACGAGCGTCTACGTCAGAGTAAACTCTACAGAATACCTTGAAATGGGTAATCCCAGCCGTTCTCACTCTCCATGCATTTCAGTCGTGCAGTGCTGTGCTCTTACCTGGATGCGGCTCATATTTGGCCCGCTCGTGCGACATGAGCCGCTCGTCATAGAGCCGAACGTCGGGGGAGAGGGCAGGGGAGAGCTGCGCCAGCGTTTTGGGCTGCTCGGGCGCCCCGGGCGCCCCGTGGGCGCCGTGGACGCCACTGTGGGCGCCCAGGTCGCCGTACGGACTGCGCAGTCGGCAGTCGTACTGGGCCATCCCGCAGTCATTGTGCAGCTGACCGCCGCACAGATCCGGGAAGGTCTGCGGACTGGGACTGGGGCGCAGCTCCTGGTGGTGGGTGGGGAAGGTCTGCGGACTGAGGACTGACGACTGAGGACTGAGGACGGATGTGGGAGGACTGAGCACGGACGTGTGAGGACTCAGAGCCGGAGGACGCTCGTCGGCCGGGGACAGGGAGTACGGGGAGTCTCCGAAGCTCAGCTGGACCGGCTGGTACCCTCCCAGGTATGACACGGGTGGTGGGGGCGGTGGCGGCTGCGACTGCAGCTGACTCTGGGCGGGGGCGGGGGCGGGGGCGGCCGAGATGGGCTGCAGGACAGTCAGGCTCTCGTGGGACGACGTGCCGGGGGATTTCTGCGGCGTGACCGGCGGCTGGGGCTCCCCGGAGACGGGCGGCGTCAGAGCGCCCACCGGCGGCGACAGCACCGCGCCGCTGACGTCCAAAGGCGTCAGCGGCGAGTAGCTGTACGTGCTGCCACCTGTCGGCGTGCCGGAGAAACGGTGCTTCAGTGCGTGGCCGCCAGGGACCGGTGAGGGGCGTGCGACAGTGCTACCAGAGCTAAAACCGTGCGACGGCGGCGGCCGGTGCGGGCCGTTGGCAAAACGGGCGGTGGGTGCAAATGCGACTGACTCGAGCGCTACAGGGTGAAATACGCTACACTGCGGGTACACACCATGCACTAGCTATCGAAAATCAACTCGAAACAAGCCGAGCCGCAGTGCAACTCTGGCTGCCACGCACGATTCATTTTTTCAGCAAACGATCCAGATTTTCAGGTATTCACCTAACAGCAAAAGCATGCACTTTTCTGAAATTTATAAGCAACAACCGTGCGAGGCAGCCAGGCAAGGTGCGGTGCGAGCGTGCGTCACTGGCGACATCTAGTGAGTGGCTCCGTCCCTAACTACAGGTGCGCCACCTATAGTCGATCGGTGCGCCACCTATAGCCGATCGGTGCGCCATCTATCGGTGACCCACCTTGCTGGTATTGCCCGGAGGCGTCGAGGAGCGGCGCTGTGGCGCCCGGGGAGGACTTGCTGTCCATGGAGATGGGCGCCAGAGGCGTGAGGCCGGCAGAGGTGCCTGACGGAGGTCGAAGAGGAACGTCAGTTTAAATAAGAACGTGAGTTGACGGCGAACACATCTATCACCCGAGCCCTTGGTACGATTCGACATCAATTTGTGGAGACCTCACGAAAACTTGACCGAAGGTATTTTAGGCACATTTGGACAGTTACCTGAAATGAGGATATGCTAATTTCGAAACAGAAGAACATGCCAAAATTGTCAATGTCTACGTAAGCTGACTGCAAAAATCTAAAATTCTGACACAAAGAATTAAATTAGTATCTCGGCAATACTACCCGAGCCGCTAACCACTCTCAGCCGCTCTCTCACAGCCCCACTCACCGAGTGACGCGGTCAGACTCTGCGAGTAGACAGACGGCTGCTGCTGACCCAGACCGATACTGTCGTACAGCGCCTCGGACTGCGAGCTCACTGCCGAGCTGAAGGCGGCCTGGTCCACGCCGCCGGCGCCGAAGCTGTAGCCGGTGCCGGCCGCACCGGCCGCAGAGAGCTCGGGGAGGAGGTTGGCCGCCTTTCCGGCCTCGTCCTTCAGCCACTGCTTCGACCAGGGCAACTGCGGACGGGAGGGGGGAGGAGGTTAGTGGCGAGATATTCGGTGGTTGGAACAGGACTATGAAGAGAAGTCGGTGGAACTAGTTATGCTCTAAGCTGTTGACTCTAAAGAAAGATCGCACTGCATCATTCCGGCAAAGGCTGGTGTTTTAAAAAGTATTGTCGTATATTACAATAACAATTTTCATGTTTACTGACACGTATTTTAAAGGATATCGTAAAAAATGCGCTAATATTATGAGACTTATGCTGTATTAAGGAACAATTTCATTCCCATCCCGTCATCACACCAATTAATGACAGGGTAAATCCTTACTTAGAATAATGAGCAGCCGCTCGAGTTTAGGAGCTCTAAGATGATCCTGCTGCTCACTTTAATCAGCTGGCGTCCCCTCTCAGAGGCCGGCGCGCCATTTCTCCACAGCCACACTCGGCTCATCTCGCGCCAAAAAGGCACCGCCACCGCGGCATGATGGATGACAAATTTCCCGCCAAATGACGGATGAAATAAACTCCATCGCCGTTGAAAAATGCAATTTGCATTCTAATAGGGCGGGTACGGGATTGGTTACACGTCAAGGCAGGCGCCGGCTAACGATAATCCGAAAGGCGTCACTCGCGGCGCACACGCGTCGTTTGTGACACGGTGCGGGTGCGCCGGAATTAGCCGCACCAGCCGAGACAAATGTGACGCGCTGCTAATGCGAGCGAGTGCTGGGATAGCAAATTGAGAAAACGTGTTTAAAATGACCTACCAACGCGGAAGATCTTTTGAATTGTAGATACAGGCTCCCACCCGCAGTCCTTTTTTCTCGGAAGTTATCACAAATTTTGCGTCCATTCATCGCCCTTATTATTTTTTGACTAGTTCCGAGTCCGAAAATATGTCCAAATCAGTCCTTCGCAGCATTAGGATTTAGGGTTAAAATAGACGCATCTATGGAGCGTACCCCCCACACCAGGGATGAGAAACAACCCCGTTAGACCACCGCCCCACCACTACTGCTATCATCATTTCCCTGATTGAGCCATCCACTGGCCATCACAGCATCCCCCCCACTACCCCTCCCCTCGACAGTCCAGCGACAAATGCGGAAATTATGCACGGCCCGGCCGGCGCGCGGGCTCTCCACAGCCCGGTCCGAGATTTGCTGCCGGCGTCCCATCTGGGGCAGGCACGACCAACGACACCCTGGGGCAGGTCGGAGTCGGGCGCGCCGGCGACCTCTCAGCCCCGGGCGGCGCGGCGGCGGCGGACGAGCCTCCCCGAGCAGGCTTTGTTCGCAGCGCCGCCCCTTGGCGCCGCCCGCATTAGTAAGCGTTTGGGGCCGGCAAAATCTCGGCACCCCAGCTCGTGCTTTTTGACGGCCGCGCACTTCGTATGGAAATTGTCGCAGGCCAGGCTGGAATCGCCGGCTTAAGTGCATCGTTTACCAAGCCGGTGGGAATTAAAGGGTTGTGATATGCTCCCAGGGGAAGGCTGGGGAGAGGTGATGTCGGTAAAAAGTCTGTTATATAAAGTACAGCTGTGATAATGCTTGTTTTACAATGTATCAATTTGTTCCGCAAGCGGGTAGTATGAAAGGAGTGTGATGATTATGCAATTGCTCTATCCATAATTCGGCGTTACCCAAAAGGTCGGATATATGATTACGCCATATTGGTAGCGCCTACAATAGAGCAGGTTTTCGGTACATCCAGTACTGGTACTGGTACTTACACTAGAGTAGGCGAGCTGTTCCACCGGGTACTGCACCCTTTGCCGCTTGACCTCCTCCTCAGCTGCCGAGCTTAGGTCACGCTCGTCTGAAACAGGTCAGAGGTTACAGGTCAGCAGAGGAGTCAGGTCAGGTCAGCTGTCAGGTGTCAGGTAAGGGTCAGGATCAACTGAGGGCGTCAGGGGTCATAAAGGTCAGCTGGGGTAGCGATAGAGTTGGAACCACCGTATCGTCAGAAGATACCTATGTCCGATAACGCCCCATTTCTTTGTTTTGTTAAGTTAAAACTTTAAAATGAATTAGTGTAATTCTTTCGAACACCAGTTTTGCCCCTTTTATCCCTCCCCAACCACCGAACAACTTGGCAACAGGCAATCAAATCGCACTCCGGGAAATCAGCGCGCCGCCAAACCGGCCCGCTTTTTCCTGACCCCAGCCGTGGCGAATTGTTAAAAGGGGACCTCAGGATGTACCCTGCGTGTCTAAAATCGGAGAGAGGGAGGAAGGGAGGGAGGGAGAGAGAGAGAGACAGAGAGAGAGAGAGAGAGAGAGAGAGAGAGGGAGGGAGAGAGAGAGAGAGAGAGAGAGGGAGGGAGGGAGGGAGGGAGGGAGGGAGGGAGGGAGAGAGAGAGAGAGAGAGAGAGAGGAGAGAGAGAGAGAGAGAGAGAGAGAGAGAGAGAGAGAGAGAGAGAGAGAGAGAGAGAGAGAGAGAGAGAGAGAGGAGAGAGAGAGAGAGAGAGAGAGAGAGAGAGAGAGAGAGAGAGAGAGAGAGAGAGAGAGAGAGAGAGAGAGAGAGAGAGAGAGAGAGAGAGAGAGAGAGAGAGAGAGAGAGAGAGAGAGAGAGAGAGAGAGAGAGAGAGAGAGAGAGAGAGAGAGAGAGAGATCAGCAGCTCGGAGTGGACCGTTCCGTGCCGCTCCAGGAAGAGTTCGGGGTCAGTCCGGGGAGAGAGCGGAGAGCGGAGAGAGAGGAGGGGAGGGCGCTCCTCCGGTCTGATTGTGACAGCCCCTCGGGTAGCGGCCGATTACATTATTGGCCCATTATGGGGTGCCGCCGACCGTCGCCGTATGCTGGCTGTCGGTGGATGTTCATACTGAACAGGGATGGGAGGATGATGGCTCAATCGGACACTTCGAGGCGGTGCAGAGTGGGGATTTGAGTGTGCCGCTTGCCATGGAGTGTCACGCGAGTACCTGGTCCTAGATTGCTGATGATCTTATATATCAACATTTATTACTTTCCTAGCTCCATAAACTACGGCTTTGTGAATTCAGTTCTGCTTGAAACCACAAAAAAACTAAGGCATCATATTTGTAGGACCCGCCACTTCCGTGTTTTAGCCACGCCCATTTTTGTTTTTATAGAATATCCCAGCCCTACTCAGCCGGGCCCCCAGGCTCTCGTCCCTGCCCGTCCCCCATCTGTCCCTGCCGGCAGAGTCTGTCCCCCCCCCCTCGGCCGGCAGTTTCTGCGTTTCCGTCGGTGGCCGGTTCCGTCGGGACGCGTGCCACTTCCGGATGACGTCACAGGGCGCCACAATGACGTCATTGAGGGTGGCCAGCGGGCGTGACGACGAGAGGCGCCGGCAGCGGCGGAGGCGCCCTCCCAGTCGCGCCGGGACTTGGCGTGCAGTGCTGGCAGTGGCCACCATCCGCAGAGAAGGCTGAGAACCAATATGAGGTGACCAGGAACTGTGGTATTGGCTCTAGGTTTGGCCTCATGCTGTCAATACCTCAGAAGGTGTAATAAAATCTTAAAAACATCTGAGAAGGAGCAGACTGAGCCTTGTGGATAAGAAAATTATGTGGACTTTCGGTTAAAAGGCAACATTATGACATTTGAGCGCGGCCATATCCCCAAAAATATATCAATTTTTTTGCACCTTATCTTCTGCTTTTATACGCCGAAGACAATCACATTCCTATTCCTGCATTACCATCCACTTCCTAGGACCATGGCCTCCCGCTCTTCTCCCTCTCTGATTATTCTCACCACATGTCGCCTTGCAAATATGTTTACCCGCACATCAGCGGGGCACCGGGCAGGGGTGCCTTTGGAGACGGTCTGCGGCGCGCCACCCGCCGCCAGCGCGCCACTAAGTGCCGCCGCCGCAGCCATAAACTCCCCTCTCTGCCCGGGATTAATGGGGAATGGCAGCGGCGGCGGCGGTGGCGGCAGAAGGCAGAGACTAGAGAGAGGCAGCGGACACGGGCGGTAGGAGCTGGGCTGGTGGGCGGTTAGGGCGGCTGGTGTAGCGAGGAGGCGTTACAGTCGTGGGGTGGCCGGGGTGTTAAATTAAAAGTTGATTTAAGTACAAACACTGTTAGCGGATGGTGGTACCGGTAGCAGAGATAATACTTAGGAATATATGAGCTTCTACGGCGACCGAGAAGTTTCGTTGGACACGAGGTGGTTAGCATATCACAACACTAAAATATCGCGTCGATAAAGCAGAAAAGCGACGGGCAAGGAGAGTTGGGGACGCTGAGTATAAGCCGAGACATCTTTTAGAAAGGACACCGCAGCCCGCCCAAAAGGGGCGAATAATTTATCTTAAACCGATGAGCATGTGAATCCCGATATGGATTATTATTTACTTTACCCACCGCAATTTGCCTAGGGAACAAAATGTGACAATTGATCAAATCAACTTCAATATCTGATTTCATCGACACCCTAAATTGAAACATTTACAACGCATTACGCCCCCGTCGTAAATACGTAACATCATCGTCACCAAATCACGACAGACGAGCCCCCGCGCGGAATCAAGCGGCGATTTCCCATATTCGTTATCCACGGGTCATTACGGATCGGCCTGTGCCCAGGGCCGGGCCGGACCCCTCTGACCCCCCTCGGCCCCCCTCTCGGGACACAGCTGCCTCTCTGTTGTGATCGCCGCGGTAACACTGAGTTAATGACAGCAGACGGTGATATAGAGCCATCGGAGAGTCTTTGTGCCGACCGTCGACACTTTGATCAGTTTGTTGTCGGCAGACATAGAGTCGGCGTCGATGATATGGGGGGGGGGGGGGGGATGTGCACTCCCAGCCGCAGCCAGGGCGGCGACGTTAAAATGATACACTCTGGGCTGGGAACGGTCATTGAAAGGCTGGAATACCAAATGTTGGTAAATTTAGGAAACACAGCTTTTTCGTCGTTCCATTTTATATTATGGAATCTCGTTTATTGTAAACTTTGTAAATGTTGTGAACTGTTTAAAGGGAACATTCCAGCGCTTGTTTTTTCCCCACTTTCAAATCTCCACAAAACCCGTTCAACCATCTCTCTCTCTCTCTCTCTCTATCTCTCTCTCTCTCTCTCTCTCTCTCTCTCTCTCTCCTCTCTCTCTCTCTCTCTCTCTCTCTCTCTCTCCTCCCCACTGACCGGAGTAGCGGTGGCCTGCGGTCATCTCTCGCCCCCCCCCCCACACCCAGCCACGGTAATAACTCGCCGGAAACGAGCGCATCCATTCTGCGCGCCAAAACAAGATGGCGGGAGCGCGGCCGCAGGAAGCGGACAAGGAGGCAGGGCGCGCCACCAGGAAGCGCGCCAAAGGACGGAGGACGCCGCTGGTGCCCGGTGGGGGACACGGAGGATGGGTTAGGTTGAGAAGAGAGATTAGGATTAATACGGGATGCCACTTGATCTTGACTTATGTTTAGTTCTCAGCCATTTTAGGCGATAACTTTAGAGGACCGTTGAAATTCAGCAACATATTTCTTTCACGTTCTCGCTGCCTCAGACATAACATTTAATCTTTTTCATGAACACTTTCAATTAACAGTGGCGGCGGAAGCAGGGGGGCAAGGGGGGCAGCTGCACCCTAAAGCTATGGAAAGGGGCGCCTCGAAAATCTGTAGAGGAGGCAGGAAGTTAAGAGGTGCGGCAGCCATAAAGCTGAGCAGTGCGACACCGCAACTGATAAAGGCACTTGTGACACGAAGAGGGTGGCAATGACGTGGGAAAAGTATCTTTTGATATGCTGAAGATTGGAGGGCATCCTTATCTGAAAAAAGGCAGATGCTGCCGACCCTGTCGAATATAATCTTGCCAGGCGATTAAGGCTTGGAGGGCGCAGCCACTCGAGAAGCGTGCCATGCGGAAGAGGGGCGCCTGAATGCGAAAGAGGGGCGCCTGTGTGTGGGACGAAAAAGAAACATTTATGGAGACGTCTTTGAAGGCGATAGCCTCCGAACGCCAATGCACGAACATATGAGGGCTTATAGCGTTGCAGGCTCCATGCGACAAAAAGGGGCGCCTGATGGCCGATATGCGAGAGGAAATTAGTTTGTGTAACATTTATCGGGGGCGGTTTGCCGCTTACAACATATGAATGTTAAGGGAGGTCCGAGATTGGGGCCTGTAAAATTGCACTGTCCGTATGGGTGGTTACACCCCTAGTGCTAGGGCATATTTTGCGTTTTTTTACTGAGGAGATGATTATGACCAGGAATAGCACTCTGCAAACTTCTATGGGCGCCTGTATAGGGGCGAAACTGATTTTCCAGTGCAGGGACGGCCATCGGCATTGTGGGGCGGCATTCATTCCACTGGGGCGTCTGCCAGTGTTGAAGGGCGGTATTCATTTCAATGGGGCGCCCGTTGGTGTTGATGGGCGACATGTATCACCTGGGGCGCCTATCGGAGATTGGGGCGGCATTAATTTCACTGAGGCGCCTATCGGCGTTGACGGGTGGTATTTATTCATCCGGGGCGCTTATCGGTGGTATAGGCCGGCATTCGCTTCACTGAGGTGCCTATCGGTGTTTTAACCCGGCAGTTGCTGGGGTATTTCGCCACCCACCGTTTGCTGGGGGGGGGGGGGGGGGCGTTAAACGCCCCCAGCCGATAACTCGAGAACCAATAGGCGCAGCGAAACGCACGAGGCGGCAAACGAAAGAGCGCGACGAGACGCTTCAGATGAGTACTTTAAAGTTGAATTTTGAGGTCACAGGTCGGGTCAAGGTCAGGTCAAACACCTGAAATCGGGCTTTCGGTAGCATGGACTTCAGGACTTCGCAATGGGCGCCTCTCGCCATAAACTCTGTCAAAACGGTGCACAATCCATCTTATAAGGCCTACAAGAGTGTCAGCTTCATATAGGGGTCAGTCAAGCATAGGTCAGGGTCAAGGTCAGGTCAACCGGGTAGGCAAATATCCCCGAAAATCAAAACTGATATTCGCAGCCTGTGACACATGTTTTGTAGGTAATTTGGGGCGTAAAACACGATGGTGACATTCATTTTATCATATGTGTACGTGTTTGGCTCAAAAAGTTCAATTTAAGAAATTCATGTATCATGGTCGTGAAGAAGTCACGAAAAATTGCCAAGATTCAGTTCAAGATTTTGGAAAATGCGGAACGATAATCAATAATCGAAGATAGCCATTTGATTGATCATGGTATTGGCAGTCTAATGGCGTTTACGGCATGTCTGTATGTCTATTCTGTGATTTTATATGATTTTTTGAACATATGCCGTTTTTGGTCGAAAAGTCAGAAATCATGACGTCACTAAAACCTCGATATCTCAAAAATTTTCCGACCGATTTTTTTGAAACTTTGGCACAATAAACTTCAATCAATTCCCTACAGGTACCCAAAATTTGGCGCGCCTGCGGCGCGCCGTTTTTATGCTATGGCCCGGCGAAAAAAGTGGGGGCGTTTAACGCCCCCCCCAGCAACTCGCGGGTTAAGGCGGCAGTAAATCCACTGGTGTCTGGGGCGCCTACCGGCGTCGAAAGGCGACATTCATAATTCATTTCACTGGGAGGCATATTGGTGTTGATGTGTAACATTCATTCTCCTGGGGCGCCCGGCAATGAGGGGCGGCATTTATTCCATTCCCCTGGGATGGGCCCCTATCGGTGTGGAGGCGTCGCCGTCGTATTAGTTTGAAATGGGGGCACCTCTGGGTGGTAATAGATGCATTCATTTCGCTGGGACACCTACCAGCGTTGATTGCCTGTATTCATTCATTTCCGGCTCCTATCGGTGTTGAAAGGTGGCATTTATTTCACTGGGGCGTCACAAACCTGCTACTCCCACCATAAACCTGATGACATTGAGCCAGGATGTCCGTTCCGAAGGGCTGACGTGATACTGATGACACCACTGAATGCAATAATGCAGTGCAGCCCAGGCGGCATGCTGCTTACCGGCCTGCAATTCTCTGTCACCGAGTTAGTGTTATGGATTCGGCGCCTTATTCACTAATCCACACGAAGGTATTGGAACCGTGGAACTCTTTTCGATATGCCTTATTCGGAGAATCTTATACCGGGTGGCCCAAAAAAAAAAAACGTTCCGAACTTTGGAGGCCTATATCTCAAATTCGAGTGCAAGTAACGAGCCAAAATTTTCATCAAGTTTGCGTCACTTCTTTGCGCATTGGTATGCCAAATTATAACACTGTACCATCATTTTCAAGCCAGCAATCTTATGTTGAATCAAGTAAGACGTTTTTGCTTTTTTTGCCGTTGTTGAACGGAAGTAATGATTGGCTTAGACGTACCATGTTAGAAAAAATACAAAAAAAAAAATAGAACGGCTTGAATGATACCAGCACGTGTGTTGCTATTTTATATTTTTTTTTGTCACACTTATGTGCCAAATATTCAAATACTAAGCCAAAGTTGTGTTAATGGATGCCATTCGTTTCAACACAAGTCCTGTTTCAAGGCGAAGGAGCATGGCACGGTGCATGGGTTACTGCTGATCGCCCTCCCTTCAAGAAGATCAAATAGTAAATCGACCGAATAATGAAAAAAAAGCTAGAGGGAATGTGTCACCCTGAGGCCTGAACCACCAATGAGACTAGTTGCCAGTAGCAGTCATGGCTGTAGGCCGTGGTGCCGAGATGGAAGTGGCTCGTTCACTCACATTTTTGGTAAACATCAGAGCAAAAAAGTGATTTTTACATGGCATGCTAGAAACACGAACCGTTTAAAAAGTAATTGACCGAATAACATAAAAATCATACCATTCACTGAAAATATATGTCGCATTGACTATTGGAAGTTTCAATGTTGTATCTTTATCACTTTCTGAGAAATATTGATTTAAAATTGGGAACGTTTTTTTCTGGGCCACCCGGTATATGGTGATGAGGTTGTTTCTAAACGAACATTATGAAGGTTACATTTACGCTATGGAATGTACCTAACTATTTCTCGTTACATAAAAACTGTAATTCTGAACGTGTTAACAGGTACAACACATTGTCAAACGTCTCTTCACTGTGTTACTACAACCGTGTATATGGTAAGGGGCGCCCAGCGGGAAGGGGCGCTTCAATATCGTTTGCACCCCTATCCTAGAATACCTTCCGCCGCCACTGTTTCAATAAGCATCGATCTTTGAATTACTTTTCGAATGCCGGGAGCTGTTCACAAACCTTAAATTTATTTCCCTCGATACACAAGAAAGCTTCGTAACTTTTATCGGTAAGTTTTGTTTGGGCATTAAATACGCACCAAAGGTAAGAAATATGGTGTCTTCACAATCAGCCTTGACTGACGATCAGCTCATCCAACTCATTCTGCCATGGTCACCAATGAGCATCCGCATCCGTAGCCGTAACCAAGCAGAGCAGCTATGGCCAAAGTTCAGCCGACTACACCCCCTGACCACTCACTATCGGTCGTCTGCAAACTCCCGGCTAACTCGGCCTAACTCTGTTCACGTGTCGGCCACCGTCGTCCGACTTTGCCAGTTGCCACCACCCGGGCCCGAGCTCCTCCCCCTCTCTCTTTCCCTCCCATTTTCTGCCCGCCCGTTCCACCCAACTCAACTCTCCTCCATCTTCTCAAAGAGACCATTCCAGAAACAACCCCTATTCGCCTCAAAACAATGGCAATCTACCTTCCGCACTCGACTGAGACGCCATCTTAACTTGATTACGTCATTTCCGCCTTATTGATTTCCTCCGAGATTCGCCGGCGGCTCTGGCAGCCTCCGCTGCTGCGGCCCCACCTCCGCGGAGGAGACATCATTGGCGGCCGGCCGGGCTGACGGCAGTCGCCGGCTTCTGGCATGATATATGGCCACTTGAGATGGCTAGTTGGGTAGGGGATGGCGTATTTTAGCCGGGCCCATTGTGCGCCCGCAGCGCTCCGCTTTGTCGTTTCTCCCGAAACGGAGGTGGTCGGGGAAAACTGGCGCGGCCACCGCAGAACAATGGCGGACGCTGAGCTTTGTTCGCCGAGACGGCGCCGCTCCGAAAACCGGCGGGCGGCGGCGGACCCGCGGCTGCATATAGAAAGCGGCGAAACTAAGGCTTCAAAAATTACATTTATTCTTTGTTGCAATTAAAAAAACGAGCAAGTAATGCATTATGTAATCCGGAACTTGAGTGAAAATCATTTACAAATCAAGAGGACCTCCACAGAGATAACTTCCATATAGGTATTCACAGCCTTTTCGTCGATGCTGCTCAATTTTCCACAAGTTAACCAGCGACCATGCCATCATTTTTTATCGAAGCATAAACTAAATCCGCCTATGATCAATCGCCTCAGAAGTTCAATTTCCACGCTAATCGCCAGCTTAGCCAAGTCAATAAATGCGCACTGCGCCTAATCCACCTCAGCTCCGTCTCGTTAGCGGCTGAGCGCACATCTGCGGCGAATTGAGCGCACATCTGCGGCGAACTGAGCGCACATCTGCGGCGAACTGAGCGCATTAATCGAGCCGCTCCGCCCAGTTGAACGGTCAATGACCGGAAACCGGCAAAATCTACCGATATACCGGTTCCGTCCCGACCGACTGATGTATGAGGTAATCAGCGCTTACTAAGGCCGCTGTGGGCTTATTACGGCCACACGCGGCTTTGAAGCGGGCTGGAGATTAAATATAAATATATAGACTCTAAATGAACAGAGGGCTGAATGAAGTGCATCTGTAAGGAAGGTCTTGGCTTTTTCCTCTTCCTACCATATTGAGTTTTGCTTGGAATCGTCCAGTTGCACGCAACTATTCACAATTTCACAAAGGCAAAATGTTTGCCATCACTCATAAACAGTAGCTAAAAAAAAAAAAATCATACGGCAGGCAGGGTTGTTCAGTAGCGTCGTTAGTCGAGTGTGTGTTGAGTTATATGTGAGAGAGGAGTGTCAAAAGCCGTCACCGATAGTCTCCGCCCAGCGTCGCTAATTACCTGGCCTAGGGTCGTACAGGTTGTCAATCAGGCGTCTTTCGTCGTTCTCTAGAAACAAAAACAATGCTACAGTCAGTCGTTGGAAGTCATATAAAGTCTCCCGAGAATGCTTATCACACCACATTCAATTATATTGGAGTTCCTAGATCTATCGATGGCACAACAGACTATTGTCAACAGTTATAATGAACGTGCATCGGTCACGAAAACTCCAAACGAGCGTCGGCATGAATGGCTGGGAGAGAATAAGTCAGTCACTATCTTTGATCATCAGCTAGCTAGCCAATGTTTAGACAAATTTGATACCACGCCAATTTCAACTTTTCGTCATACCACATCTAAATGAAAATAACCCATTTTAGAAAGATACCGTAATGCACTCAACTACATTGCGATGAGTACGATATGTTGTATCTTTGCCCTCCTCTAACGACGCCGCCCACCACACCAAATATTTACCCAAATAATCACCCCCACAGCCCTTTTCCGACCATTTCCTCCCTCCCACACACCACACACCACCGCTGCCACCACAACACAATCACGGGGGGTCGGCGGCGGGCGACAACGATTATCCACGGACACTGCAGCCCACTGGAGCTCGACCGGAGCCACTGGAGCCCAGTGGAGCTCGACCGGAGCCACTGGAGCTCAGTGGAGCTCAGTGGAGCCCAACGGACGCCGCTGAGAACCGCTGGCTAAGCGGCGGCGGCAGCGGCGGTGGGAGCGGTCCGTGGTGCCGGCCGGAGAAAATGGCCGACAGGAGAGGAGAGAGGAGAGGAGAGGAGAGGAGAGGAGAGGAGAGGAGAGGAGAGGAGACGAGGGGATAGGATATGAGAGGAGAGGAGAGCAGAGGAGAGGATAGGAGAAAAGAGGAAAGCAGAGGGACATAGTAACAGTAGAATGGAGCAGGTGACAGAAAAACGCAGCGCAGGTTTTGCGATGTAGAAGCGGTTTTGTACATTTAAGACTAATAGCAATACCACGCCTTTGGTAAGGAGTTTGACACCAACCCAGTACGTCCAAACGCCAGCTATGGCATTGATAAATCGTATGTACCCACTGCTAGCGCTAGCAGGCGTTCCGCTTACAAATGGCGAGCATATTTACAAAAGATGTTTTGGGGCCCACCTCTTGTCAATACGTGGTAAGGAGACTGATAATCCAATGCTCCAAAGCACACATGTGAAAACAGCTTCTCAAAAGCTTTGAATTCAGTTGAATAGCAAACATTTGAAAACGCAAATGGGGTATGCCCTGTGGTTATCACTTCAAACAGATCGAAGCCCACGAAACATGACTGGTGGTTAGACCGTTTGGAGTTTGGCAAGTTCCTCGAAACTTGTGTTTTCTTTGCTGCTCAAAGAGCATTTTTTCCCCTCACATTGGCGTATAACTAGTTTACGTTTCTCCTTTCAAAAAGTAACAACCAGCCCAGACTATTCTAGCACCATAATGTTTCCCTGATGTCGTTTTAGCTTCCCAAGATAAGCGCTCACATTATTCAAGTTTTTCCTGTTTCACCATCACGACAATCCCTCCCGTTTCCTAAGTATCCCACCGTGCCACCGTTTCCGTTTCCCCACTCACCGTCGTCGCGTTTCCTTTTGCCGATGTTGTTTCCGTTGGGGTCCTGCGCGCCGATGCCCAGGATGCCGTTGATGCTGTAGCTGGGTCGGATGTCCCTCAGGTCGTGCGCGGCCGGCGGCGCATGCGCAATGACCGAAGTCTGGCCGATGGGTGAGGGCAGGCCGCCCGTGTGCCCGTGCTGCTGGTGGCTCTGGCCAGAGCCGCCGTGGCTCCCCCGCACCTTCTCCGCCGCCTTGTTCCGCACAATTCTACAGAACGGGAGGCAGAGGTGACAGAATTCAGAATAAGAATGGGGAAAATTGCATGCTAAGTGGTGGCTGCTATCTTATTTCAAAACATACATCATTTACTCGAATGCATGTATTTTGGCATGCTGCCAATACAGCCAATAAAACAAATTCAATTATTTACTGCGGAACTGAGAGACCCAAAGCGTGTTCGAATTTTATAAAAAAATGTCTAGCGAAATATACATTCAAGACCATTGATGAACGACGCCAAAATATCATAATGGCTGGAATAAAATTAAAAAAGGCCACATTTTCATTGAGTTTCAGTTTTAGCTACCAGCCGGCGAATACTTCCCAGCCCGTATACTGCCCCTGCCATCAACCGAGCCGTGAGCTCTCGGTCTCGGTAATCCGATTGGGAGGTAGACTGTGCCGCAGTGACTGCGTGTTCGGCGGCACAGCCTACCCCCGGCACTGGCAGGGGCGGCTCAGGGAGGGACGAAACGGACGGACGGACAGAAGGAAAGCGGACGGCGAGACGGTAGGGACGATTCAACGATTGTGATATTCCTTGTTGCAATATGATATAGCATTACAGCGCAAATGTGTCTTATGCGAGTCGCACTATCATGAAGATGATAGATTGTGATATAGTCGAATAAATATGAAACAAAGTAACACCATTCGGGAGAGCGGTTGGCATGATCAAGAAAATGTGCAAATTTAGCGCCATTTGAACCGAACATCTGTTATTCAATTCGTATAAGGCGTGTCACCTAATTGAAGATTATATGGGACAGCCGTCTGACTTTCCGGTCTCGATTCGTCGGCCCACCTAGGCCACTGAGGCGGCTAACAGGCCAACAAAACTGCCGCAAACAGCCATCTGACCGGCCGGCGGGCGCCCACTCTGGCAAACTTCGCCACTCCAGCCGGCCGCCTCTATTCAGTGGCGCGCGAAACTCGCAAAGAAAAATGCCCGCCGGTCGCCTGCGGACCGTGGCGCGCCGACATTACCCTGATTGGCGCCACGCGCCGCACAAATGGCGGGTAAACATGGCGCCTGCTAACCCGTTCATTAGTGTAATTCGCCTCAAGCGGCGGAGAGTCTGCTGAAAGGAGCAGACCACCGTCAACATTGACTTAGCGGTCCGCGACAGAACATCGCACAACAGAACAGCGCTGCAGGGCGCTGCCAGCGACCGCCACCGCGCGCGACCGAAAATCAACAATTTGACTCACAACCTGAACGGGGTGTTTTAGCCGGGCGGCGGCGGCGCGGCGGCGACAAGGGTGCCGGGCCGCCCACTAATGGTACTTCTATCGGACGCGCGCGGAGCTCCCCACTGGGATGTCGCGTAAAGTGAGCGGCGAGTAAATCGCTGAATTCAGATCAGCGAACATATGTGCCCGGCTCCCCCGGGGAGAGCAAGCGTCCGCCGGGACATGGCGCGACAGATGTGTGACTTTTGGCGCCAGCGCAAATTAATACGGCCATTGAATGCGAATACGCGGCTCCCCGTCGACAACACCATAACAGACGCGTCTTTTGGCGCGAATTATGATCAACTAATGAACAGCGCTGGACAGGGGCGCCTGGCGACAACATGCGCGTGAAAAATAAACCAAATTTCGAGTGCTCTTGCGTTAGAGCAGTAAACCAAATCATCCACACTTCACGTGCCGAAAATCTGGCGGCTCCCCGCGCGGCGCGGGCAGCGTTTAAAAGCCGAGCAGCTGTCGACACGTATGGTCTTATTAGATCAGTGCGCGGGCGCCTTTCATGTGCCGTTACTTTCGACTGGCTGAGCCCATTGGGGGGCGCCCGGCTCCCTCTCGATTCGATAAACGGACACATTCGACAAAGGCGAACGCAAGGCAGGCACTTTGCTGCTCAGACTCGCTGAATGCATTAAAATAGAGACAGGTTCACAGGCGAACATCTCTAACACACATACATGATATTGCATTTATTTTTACCCCCTTTAGAAGCCATTTTCCACGCTCGGTCGGCCGCTTCTCTGGCCGAGCGCCGCCGCCGCGGTGTTCTACAAACGAGTGACAACGCGCCGGCCGGGCCCTCATTTCTCTCAATTGGCTGTATTTGGTACTTGAAAGCCACTTAGGGGCCGCCGCGGCACCCAATAGAGACGCCGCCGGTGTATTTATTGCGGATTGGGCCGGCCGGCCGGGGGGGGGGGGGGGGGGGACGGAGCGCAGCGGTCGGGGCCGGTCGGAAAAGTGGCCGCGACTGCCGAGTGAGGTACTGCCAGCTGAGTGCAGGGAATGGAGGCATGATGATCGGAGGAAAGGGGAGGCGAAACACTGGCTGGGGAGAGCTGAGTGGTGGTCGTGAAAGGCACGGTATAAATAAATTGTTTGGATCATTTTGATCGGATGGATACATTTACAAACCTTGGAAACATTGTCAAAAAACAGTTGCAAGAAAAGCAAGCGAGCTCATTGGGAAAAGCAGAGCACCGCTCCTTAAAAAGTATCCCACCCTCACCAAAAAAAGCAGAGCACCATGGTTAGTTATAGAAGTTAACCCGCAAAGCCATAGCAGTTGGGAAGAACAATGATAAACCACTTATGGTCCTAACCATGACTCATGGATTAGCATGCATAAAACAACCACTCATATGATTATCAAACTGCATATTGTAGGCAACTAAGGGAGCCCCTGTAAGCGACCAGTACCTGTTGATGCTGGACACACTCGGTACGTTGTCCTGGTTGCACACATTCTCGGCCAGCAGCCGGTCCCGAATCTCCCAGGCGAACATGGTCGGGTTCTCGCGCTTGTATTTAGCGATGGCGTCCACCACGTGCGGCGTCGCCACCTTGGGCTTGCTGCCCCCGATGACACCCGCCTTGAAGCTGCCCGTCTCATAAAACCTGCGCAGTTGGCCGTGACGGCAGCGGTTAGCGCGGGAGGCCAACACCGGGTCATCAGCTGAGGTCAGTCCGTCGTCACAGAAATATACGACTCGAAAACTACGCCTGCGATTTTCCCACACCAGAGACGTAGTTTTGGAGACGTATGATTTTGTGAGTCGGGTCGGCGTCTCGGTCGGTTAGTCGGGTCAGTGCCGAAGGGTGCCGGAGGTCAGGGTCACCGTCACCAAGGGTAGAAGCTCCGTCACCGAGTAGTTGGGTTAGCGCAGGCGGCGGACGGTAGAAACATCTCCGCACGAGAAATAATCGGCGATATTTGGCTGGTTTCACAGCAAACTTTGCTTCATTTTTTTTTGTCGGAAACAAGAAATATAAAAAGTTTTCTTTTACAAGGCGTTTATGATTTTCACTTTTACTAAAGTTAGGAAAGTTTTACTAATGATACTTGAAGCATCAGCCAAATATCGCCGTTTGTTTCGCGTTGCAGGACGCATCTCCATCCCCTGCTCTCCTCCACCGCAGTTGTCCTCCACCTCCGCCACCTCTCCTCCGTCCTCTCCGTCCTCCTCTTCTACCTGTTGATGCTGGAGACACTGGGCGCGCCCTCCTGGTCACACACCCGCTCCGCCAGCAGCCGCTCGCGGATCTCCCAGGCGAAGATGGTCGGGTTGGCGCGCTTGTATTCGGCGATGGCCTGAATGACGGTAGGTGTGGCCACTTTGGGCTTGGAGCCGCCGATCACCCCCGGCCGCACCGAACCGGTGTCATAGAATCTGGTCGGGGTGGGTGATGGGTCAGAGGGGTGCACAGGGGAGGGATGGGGTGCACGGGTGGGGTGCAGGGGTGTAACAAAAGGGGTGTGGGTGGGGGAGTGCATGGGGTGACAAAAAGTGAGGTCTGGGGCGGTGCTACTGGAGTACATTACGATGCAAAGTGGCAAAGCTTCAATACTACATGGGGAGTGAATGTAATCTAAGAGAGATGCAAGCTAGGGGTGGGCCAAAAGGGAGATTTGGGTGGTGGTGGAAGGTTTTGGTGCCGAGGGTGCTCACGTCTCGTCTGTCCAATGTTAGTCCAACATCAGTCTACCGTTAGTCCAACGTTTAATGACGGAGTCTCTGTCACATTTCACAAGCAACAAAAACAGTACATAAATAATTGTGAGCAAAACATCGCCCGCCAATTACTCATACAAGTCACAACGACTGAACGTAAGAACCCAAATCCGCACGGCTTCAAAGACAGGCAGCCTGTCCCGAATCCCGATCATCAAAACACAGCCGTCCGGACACCACATCACAAACGCGCGCATCGGAACGAAATAACGAGCCAAACTGCACCGCACAAACAGCCCACAAACACCGCACAAACAGTCCCCTAATTCAGTGCTCAACGAACAAAGCTGGCAACCCGTTCAAGCTCTCCTCCTCCCCGGTTTTCTGGCGTCTAAATTCTCTCAAACCGTCTCCCCTCGGAGCACAAAAACAGCCTCTGAACGTGGCGCATAGGCGACGTTTGGCGCCGCTCCTGCGCCGCGGCGACACGGCTGAATGCGGCGAAATGTGGCGCGCGCCACTCTGGCCGTCTGCGCGTCACTGGTGAGACAGATCGGCCAGGTAGTTACAGTGGAGCCCTGTCGTCGGTCCGGCCGCCGAATGATCTACGTGAGCAGACAATTGATGTGAAATGTCCGGGAGTGTGCAGTAAATTAGATGACGGGAAGTGAGAGCGAGAATAATTTTGAGTCACCGAAACATTAGATGCTAAAGCAGTGATATTCATAACTGCTAGTAATTCCACAGTTTTCACAGGAAAGCTCAAAGCATACCCACAGTCGTAAGCAGCTCAAGAACTTTGCAAAGAGACCATTGGCGGTCCCAGGGGGGGGGGGCCACGGGGGCCATGGCCCCCCCTTTGGTGCTGAAAGGTGGGGCCATACTATCTTTTGGCCCCACCTTTCAGATCGAACAAAAGTCCTAGAAAAGCTTTTTGTATGTTTCATTTTCTTTCTTGCGCCATCAAAGGACGTAAATTTCACTCATAAGTGGGCTCAGTTTCGCATTTTGTCAATTTGGCGGTCAGCGTCGCTTACACCGGCTCACGAGTATGGCTGGATCTTATATGGAATATCAGCGTGGGTTTACTTGAGGCTCTCGTAGGCCCAGCAATGGCTGGCATGAGACCCTCTTCGGCAGTGGCGGGTGGGCCCTGCCAAATGAGCGTGGCTCTACGACACTAAAGTAAGGCCTCATGGGTTGGTGCTGTGCACCTTAGAAGCCCGGTGGTGACGCCGTATGCCGGTTTGGTTTCTTAAGGACTAGCGTGGGACCTCCGGGGCCTGCATAAAGTTTGCATCGTTTGCATGAGCTAGTATGTAATCTCAGAGGCCTGTGTGTAATTTGTACACAGTGGCGGTGTACACATGGCATCAGGGCCATGCCCCCCCCCAAGGCCAATAAAGGGGGCCATCATATCATTTGCCCCCCTCAAACAACCAATGGGCCTCCATAGGTGTATGGGGCCCTGGCCCTTATTCGATCGTCACGAGACTAAAAAAACCCACGCCCAGCTATTAATGTAGCTCCCACACCGGTCTTTGAGCGTCCTACACTGACCTCTGAGGAAATTTCAGTGGCGGTCAAGCACCCACGTTGACCGCTAAGAGCCCACATCGACCTCTGAGGCCCCAAATCTTGCCTATGAATGCCCCTAACCGGCATCAGGGGCCCCAACTGGCGTCTGAGGGTCTCACACCGGTCTCTGGTGGCCTTATTTCTGTCTCTGGTGTCCCAAGACGAACCTTTAGGTGCCAATGAGAGCCCCGCACTGGCTGCTGAAAACCCGATGCCGGCCTCTAAGGGCCTGCATTGGTCTCTGAGGAGGGCCCATCTTGGCCTTTGAGAGCCCTCTGCTGGCCTCTGGGGTCCAACGACGGCTCATGCCGGTCTTTTAGGGCCCCACGCTGACCTCTGAGGGCCCCATGTTGGCCTGTAATGAGTAAGGACCCACATTAGCCTCTGAGAGCCCAACTCGGTCTCTGATGGTCTGAAACTACTGGCCTTTGCAGTCTGCAGGCCCTGTACTGGTCTCTGAGGGCCCTAAACTGGCCTCTAAGTGAAAACATACATGGTAGGCTTCTGAAGATCAGAGGGCTCACGCAGACTCCGGCACAGCCTATACGTTGGTCCTGATCGAGATAACTTTACGTCTTGATGGTCCCGCGCAGATTCCCTCATATTTCGACGTCGAGACCGTATGAGCCGGTGTGGATCCTGGGGCTGGCAGAGACTGATGAAGTCCTTAGGGCTCAGAGCCAGTCTTTTAGCAGTAGGACTAGGCAGGTTGAGTGAGCCCCAATAGAGCCGTTGCGAAGCCCCGCAGGAGTCTGAGCGCGGCCCTCAGATGCCAATTTTGAAAGCTATGAACCTGTGGGGGTCTCCAGAGGTCGGTGTACCTACTGTCTCCCGCCGCCACACTACTATATGGGTAAATTTCATAGTCTGAAAATGCTCTCTGGGTCTCACATGCTTGTAGCAAGAGGTACGTGTCTGTACTTTTCCGAATTGTTTTATAGTGCTAAGGTCATGAATCCGCGTTCCCGACCTTTCAGTATATGCTACACCGATCCGTCGTCATGGTGCAGTGGCCCGACGGGTGGAAACACCGTGGGACGGGAAATGGAACTGGTGATTTTGCCTTAAATTGAGCTTAAAGATTTCACGCAAGAATGAGATGGATGAAGCATAAGTAATGCCAACTGCGCGGCACCTCGTGGGCGTAAAAAAATTAGCCGATCACCCCCCCCCCCCCTCCGGTGATGGATAAATGTTATGTCCCGCGAGTGTGACTTTGGCCCCCCCTTTTGCTAGCGGCTGCGACCGCCAGTGAAAGAGACGAAGTCAGCACAAGGTGATAAAACAGAAATATATGTAAATACAAACCACTTCTACCTCCATTACTGCCCATCAAAACGAGGCCCACCTCCGGGGCCCAGCGCGGCCGGCGCGCGGCACTTCAGACGCCCGGAGCCATCACTCGCTCGGCGTCACTTCATACTAATAACCCTTCACACGTGCCGGGGGCCCAACAACGGCCCCCTGTGCGGGCAGCCACTTCAAACGGCGCCGGCCGCCACTCGGCCGCTGATTCAGCCTCGGAGGGTATTATTAGAACCACTGCTCAGCGGCGAGACTGACTCCAGAGACTCGATGCGAATGGTCGACGGAGCAGTTTAGAAGATGGAGAAGACAAAAGGCCGAAACGTGGGTCGAGACTCGCTCCAGACACACGCAGGATCAGCTATCAAATGGTCACGAGCCTTTCAGAAAATTGCTGAACTTACGGCATCATGCAAGGACCAAGACGTTCATAAAAGATCACAGAATTCGCAGAAAGGAAAGCAACATGATCAAATGATTGTTCAATGACATCTATTGATGCAAACCTTTGTCAACGACATATTCAATCACTCAGCTCTCTTCACATCAAAGCGAAACACTATACCACACGGCCAACCCGCGGTTTGCTTCACCCACAGGTCACCACGGCAGGGGCATCGCGTTACGGACGTCTCGCCGCGGCCGCGTCAGGAATGCGTCGGGGGTGGGGTCGGGAACGCGGCCGCACAGCGCAGCCTTGTGGTGGCTGCTAATATCGCGTGTCTCCCGGATGGAGGGAGGGACGTTCGGCCGGCGCACGAGACAGCGTGGCATTCGCGCGCCGCGCCGTCTAAAAGAAACATTGTGCCCGGGAAAGAGGAGCCGTTTGGCGGAACGTGGGGGCGACAGCGCCGGGGCCTTTGAAGTTGACGACGGCACGGAGACGGGAGGTTGACAAGTCGATTCGCCACGAGAGACTAAAACGCAGACGAAATACGACGGCTTTGGTCGCGTTCTCGACGACCCACCATGAAAAGTGAAGCGAATTTAGGAGAATGCACCTAAGAGGACGTAGAGTCAGCGCACGCCAGATCTCCCAAAAAAAAAAAACAGAACTAACCGAATTTCTTTAAATAGCAGAGCTATGCCCAGCTCGAACCACTTGCAGCGACTCACAAACGACATTAAACCACAATAATTTCCCGAGAAAAACAAGTGGACGATTCTCCAGATGTACCATTTTGTCTCAAAACAATTCACATCATACCACCGCCGCCGGGCCGAGTAGGAGGGAACAGAACACACAAACAATCCCCGACGCACCAGATTCCGGAACGCGCCGCGCCGCCGACGTTTTCTGCATTTCCTGCGCGGGCGGCGGGCGCGCGTGCGGCGCCTTTTTGGCGACGGGCCTTATGACAGATCGCCTCCGCTCAGTCGAACCATTGTCGACGTCGACACCGCCAGGAAATGGCCTCCGAATGAGCACCGGAGCCAAATTAATTATCCCGACGGATCAACGACGCCATTGTGGTGGTGAAAAATGTCTTCATCCTCTGCGCGGCGGCTGGTCGCGAGGCCTCGCGCGGTCCGCGACGGCAGGAGCTCCTCAGAGGTGGTGATTATCTCGGGGTAAGAGTGTGAGAAGTGATTATCCTTGGGGTAAGAGTGTGAAGTGAGGTGCACCGCTGGCTCTGAGCTCGGACAGTGAGCCGTCTCTGTCGGCAGAGTTTGACGCGGAGGCGGACCAGTGACTCTGTCACGGAGCGGTGACAAATTGTCACCAGACGGACTCAAAGCCGCGGGCAGACGGTGACGGCTGCAGAGGAGCAGCAAAAACGGGACATCGGAACGCCACTGAACGAGCCGCCATACGAACCGGTCGGTGGCTCATGGACGACTCCATTTGTCGAACGAGACATTTCAGGAAAACCCTTGACATCAGACAGGATAAAACTCATTCTGAAGTGATGTTCCAAGTTCGAACTAAATCACAGTCCAATAAATCAAACAGTTGCAAAACAGATTTCTTTCAGACTAAACGCTCGAGACTATCATAGACGAGCCACAACGTATCAATTACCATCAAAGTTCCTTCCACTCGACCACTGCGTTTATCCTCTTCTCTCCCCTCCTCTGGTAATGCCACCACAGCCCGCCGTACGCACCAGGCGCGGCCGTTTTATCAAATTAACGCACACGCTCCAGTGTCTGTGTACTGTCCAATGTGTCAACGACACCCCCTGTGTCAGCGGCGACACTTTCTGGTGGCGGAGGCGACACCACGATGGCACGTGCGTTACCAGAGGATTACGCCAGTTATCCGCCAGAACACGCGTTTGGTGGCGGATTGTGGGTCTGAGTGAGTGTATGGGGGAGTGGGGAGGGAGATACAGGGGGCGCCAGCCCTGGATCAGACAAACCGAGGGGAGATACAAGTGGTGCTTGTGAGTGAGCTCACAAGGGAGGGGAGCGGTCAATGAATCGACGATTGGAAAACAGTTGTGAGCTAATACTCGACATTGCTACGGAGGTGTCATGAAAAGATGCAAACAACTAAACAAGGCAAAAGCTGTCAAGAGGCATCGTACCAAGCATGACAAGATACCAGCTAATCCAAATAAAATGATGGGATAAGCCATCCGCTAGCCATTACAATCTGTATGCAAATATCAGCAGCAGGCAGCAGCCATTGCCAGCCCTCCCCTAAAACACCTACCACTAACTCCACTAATTACACCATTAAGCCGTCTTATTTTACCCCTCTCTCCCCTATCTTACTCTCTTTGGGAGCACCGCCGCAGCGAATCGCGATTATGGAGAGCGGCGCGCCACAGGGCCGGCGGCGGCGCGCGCTTTTTTAGCGCTGGCGCGCGGCACGTGCAGCGCGCGGGGTGGTGATGTGCCCGGTAATGCGGCGCGGGCGCCAGTTTCCGGCGCGAGCGGGTCGAGTTGTGGCGGCAGTTCCGCCGCCGCCGCAGGGCGGTCGGTGACAATTTGTGACGCACGCTGGCTAATTTGTGGCGCAGAGCGGCGGCAGCGGCAGCGGATCGCTCGTTTCGATCGAGAGTGATGTTTGATACGAACACCGGGAAAATCATTCATCGACGAATTTGCGATAGGTCTCAAGTCCGAAGATAACTGCGAAGTCTGTTCGTGATTTAGAAGCCCGGCTCTGCTCCCAATGTTTTACACTCAAATGATAAAAAGCAAGTTTTAAATCAGCTGCATTTGCTGGTACTGTTTCCTTGTTTTAGCTGATCTTCTCTTTTCTGACAAATTTAGAAACACTTTAGTGACTTGCATCTCAAATCCCACCCAATTTTCTCCGCCAACCTCTCGAAAGTCACCATCAAATACGGCGGAAAATCAGACCACTCTCTCCACATTCACCGAGCAGGACCCACAACAAACACCCCGTCTCGCCACCAGCACACCACCGCCAGCCGCCTCTGGACCGGCTGTGTCGGCCGCCGGGGCACCGGAGCGTTCAGGGGTGTAACGACATCATACGGACCCCGGCCGGCGGCGGCCCGCGGCCGTGTTAACAGCGTCACCGCGCGCCAGATTAGCCCGGGGACAGACGGCGCGCGCCACGCCGCTGATTTCACGGCGCTCCTGAGGCCCACCGAGGAGGATTAGCGCGCCAAAATCGCCGCGGAATGACGGCCGAGACCGCCGGCACCGGCCAGAAATGATCCAGATATGACGCAGTGATGAGGAGATGGGACTTCGGAGACGGAGAAATATCGCGAAATACCGGTGACGGTTTCTTTGTCACGGTTTACGGGATGTCGTTTGTTTGGAGAAATTATGTCTGGATATGGTCTCAAACTTGAGAGTCCACAAAATGAGCTATTCCTGGGTAATCAATCCATGGGACCGGAACCCCAAAGCATAAAACAATAATCACTTTTATACAGAGCCTAGGATCCTCACAAAAGTCCAACCCTAGATTTTATGCTTGGAACAATATTTCTTGGTGACTACTAAGCACAATCTCAAACCAGCTGACCACCCACAATCTTACCCTAAAAAATCACAAATCGACTTCTCATCGACTTACTGTAGGGGGACTTCTGGGGATCGACTTCTGTAGATCCCCAGCGAGCCCTCCCTGACATCTCTCTCTCGGTGTGTGGATTTTCTCCAGCGGGGCGCATCCGGAGCATCGCACGCGGCGCCGGAAGTCGCCAGTTCCGGTCTCCGATGGAGCGGCAATATTGATCGGCCATCGTCCGCCGGGGGTCCGGCCGACCTCTCTTCGTCTTCCAGCGGAGAGAGATACAGCCGAGACGGAAAGACATAGACGGGAATGGAGGCGGGGTTTGTGAAAAGACGAAACAGGAATGGATGCATGGAGGTCAAACGGGAATAAAAATACTTTCATGACGACTAAGGGCACAAGCACCAACAACTTATGAAAGAGAGCGTCAAAGTGATATCCTGATGGCCCATTGACATGATCAGTTGAATTAACCAGCCAATACTCAACTCGCAGATCAAATGCGAGTCCATAGCTCACCCCATGCCAAGAATCCACGAAGCCTCGCTCACATCCAAAATATCCGCCCCGAGCTGTGAGCCGTGACGCCTGTGTTTCTCCCAGCCGTGGCAGCCCCGGGCTGCGGCAGCTCTGCGGGCTCTAGTCCGGCGGGGACCGGGGAGCAGCGATCGACCGGCCCGAAATCGTGACCTGGGTGCAGCAGTTGGACGCCTGAGCGCCTCAGACCGGTCGGGGGGACGGCCTCTTTGCCAACTGTCTCTAGCCGGAGCGACACGGGCTCGGCTTTCGAAATCGCCGCATCGGAGAACTGGGTCCATCTTATTTTAAATCAACGTAACAATAGATGTAAAATTGGAAAGAGTTGGGAAACGATTTCTATTCTATTGTTGATACTTGAAAGAACTTTGTCCAGATAAGTCGTGAAAAATATTGTAAGGTTGTCTCGTTGAATAAGGAATTGTTTTCCGAAAATACACCAAGTAATCCACGGGATCGTGAACCTCACTTTCAACCCACGAAGATCCCGGACGATAACTCGACGTCACCGGGTTTATATCACCGTCTGCCGCCTGACAGTCGTCTCAAATGTCACCGGGTGACCCGGTGTCAGCCTGAGACGTCAGACGGTGACACGGGGTCGTGTCGGCCGATAAATGACACGCTCTGCCGCCGCGGGGGTGGCTGACACTGTGGCGCGGGTAAGTGTCAGATGGTGGCACATGTTTCCAGTGTGACATTAGATGTAGTTGTGGCTCGTGATAGTGCAGCTGAGTTGAGCAATATGCTCATGAAAATAATATTAGGTGGGTATACCGTATTCCACTTCCAGCGATGATGGAAATTGTCATCGAAGTCCACTGACATTTGCATTCGGAAAAATGAACAGAGTTGTTCAGATCAGAGTTGAATAAGACAACAAAATACTTGAGTATACTTGAGGAAGAGTTGCCAGACAACGATTGACGCACAAAACAGCATTAACACCCCACATAACAGGAACACAAGTTATTTGTTTCACACTCAACACCAAACCAACAACATTCAGCACATAAAACAGATCACGAAGAGCATTACAAAGTGAAACACATCAGCACGTTTTCAGAACGCATTATTTAGACCAAAAGCTGCACAACTCTCCAGCCACATCAGTACACACATCCATTGAAGCAAACAGACGACAAAGTGCCATCAGATTCACCGAACACACGAAAACAAATAACTAAAATCATCATCATCCTCCACCGACAGCTGAGACCAGTTCAGCACCTATTGGAACCCTCAGCAACCACCCCACCAGCCTCCCCCGTCCCCCAGCCGCCCCCAGCCGCCCTCAGCCGCCCTCAGCGGGCGCTGCTGACCCACCTGCTGAGGATCTTGCTGACGCAGCCGTGGCTGACCCGCAGCTGGCGGCTGATGTCGCACGGGCGGACGCCGTTGTGCGCCAGCTCGACGATCTTGTGGCGGACCATGTCGGGCAGCGGTCGGCCGTTGACAAACACGCCACCCAGCTGGTTTACACCGCCGTGACCTGAGGTCAGCCAGACGGGGGGAGGTCAGCCAGACGGCCGGAGGTCAGACGGGGAGGGGTCAGAGGACCTGAGGTCAGAGACGGGCGGGGGTCAGACGGGGAGGGGTCGGAGGGGCCTGAGGTCAAGCAAACGGATGCTAGAGGCAACATCTCATGGTCAGAGTGGGAAACAGGCCAGGTCGGAAAATGATATCAAGTGTTGAAAATGTTGAGCTGAGGAATATGATTTGAAAATGCATCTCAAGTGGAACCCAGGTCATTTTCCGTCGTTTCCTCAGTGTTTTAACCTTTAGCTTCTTAGCTGGAATCTTATAATTGCCAGTTGAGCTATTCCATCAAATCTAAGGCCATTGATTCCGGCAGCATATTCAATGTAATACGGTTAGGCCGGGCGGTCTCTGATCATCTGAGCACGCCTGTCGACCGGCAACCACACACTGCACGGCTCATCGCTCCGGGCCGGTCATCATCCTCCCGTCCTCTCTCCTTCTCCTCCCCCTCTGCCCGCCGGTCCACTCAGCCATTCTCCGTCAGAGGAGACGCATATTCTCCGTGGCAGATGTGATAGACGGCAGACCCAGTCAGCGGTACCCGGAAAAGGGAGGAACACAGACCGAGAAACGCACCAGATACAGATTCAGGAATAGCCGCGCGTGGGTATGGATGTGTTGATGCTCTACTGTGAGAAGCAGGGCTGCGGAGTCGACGGATTTACGGCGACTCCGACTCCGACTCCGACTCCGGCTTTCAAAAACCAACTCCGCCTCCGACTCCGACTCCGGGCAGAAATGTCGACTCCGATCGACTCCAACTCCCGACTCCGACTCCGCACACCTGGCAGGGCTGCGGAGTCGACAGATTTTCGGTGACTCCGACTCCGACTCCGGCTGGGGTTTCCAATATCGACTCCGACTCCGACTCCGACTCCGGTCAAAACTGTCGACTCCGACCGACTCCGACTCCGACTCCGACTCCGACTCCGCAGCCCTGGTGAGAAGGCAAGCCAACAATTGCTTTTCTACGTTTTGCAGGCCCGCTGACTTGCAAAATCAGATTCTAAATCACGCAGACCGATCTGTTTCATGCGACCTAGCAGTAGCTACTCATATGTCATGTCAGATTTCCCACGTGACATACGGCATATTTTCCATATGAATATCGCCGTCATTACCGATTCCCCGTGATTATTATACCCATCATTGCATATTATGCAGGCGACAGGAGCGATCTCTATCACAGCCTGCACCGATCAATCTCGTGCAGTCGCGCATTGGAGATCCTCCACCGAATATATCCGTAATCTCCATAGCTAACGACTCGTTAAAAACTCCCATCGATGATTAATACACGCCGGCTGCGACTCTGCGCCGCTGGTCATGTATCACTGGGGCGGGCGGCCGCTCTCAAAGCCTCTGTCCCTGGCCGCGTGGCCCGGCTCTCCACCACGGGTCGAACCCACGAGGACTCACTGTTATGAGCCAGGTAGCGCACCCAGCCGGCCGTGTTATTCAGACTGTATTCACAAGAGCAGCGGCACAATGCCAAACCAGCACCTGCGGGCCTTTTCACAGCCGGCGCTGGTAGATCGCTGTAAATTGTGCTGTGCGCGCGCCGCGACATAGACCCAGTGTCGGGGAGCAGAGGGATGTGTCCAGAGGGTCACTAAGCCGCACCTCGTGGCCCATAGAGGGGGATGGTGGAGGAATGAACTACAGCATTTACCGTTCTGTGGTTTTGTGCGGACACTGTCCACTGAGAGCTCATAGAAAACCGCGTGAGGCACAAAACAGCACGCAAATACAGCTGGTAAGCGACGCACGCGTCGAGCATTTGTGAAGAGGATAAACCACACTGAAAGATTGACCCGAATAATCCCCTCACAGGTCCGTATGATCACAACACTAGGGCTGAAATTTGGCGTCTCACCACTGCAGTTGAAGGCTTCAAGGATCCATGGATGCGTCTGCATTTTTGTCTGCACAGACTTCGCGTTAAATCCTTCGCAATTTTCACTAAGATCACAGCCGTCAGGAACGCACGCGCAGTGCAAACACGCAACTCACGCGCATACCCACACGCCAGGACATTCGCTCGCTAACTGGCCAGTCTCCTGATAAAACAAGGGGTCACCCCATCCAGTGGTCCCCGGGTTAACCCCGCCCCTCCCTCTCCCTCCCTCTTCCCTGCGGGAGGTAGCGGCCACTTCAACCGGCTTTGTGGGGTTTATTCAGTGGCGGTATCACTGTTCTGGGGAGGGGAGGGGGACCATGGGGACGGGCCGGGAGGGGAGTGGGGAGGGTCGGTCGGTCCGCGACTCCCCTGACACCCCGGGACGGCAGGACCGGAGCCGATTGTCCCGGAAAATACCTCTGTTCGGCACGCGCAGCCACGTCCACCAAACTCCGGCGGCTCACCTGGCGAACACCTTTTGCCATCCCGAGAGACCCACGTGTAGTTTGCCAGTGTCTTTCAGCCTAACGGAGGTGAGAGGTGCACAAAGGTGTATGACCGTCCCAAGGGTCCTCAATGGAGCGGGAATGGGAAGTAATGAAGTCGGGAGAATGGCAGAGATCGCATACCGGGGACAGGGGGAGGGGCTGGGTGGAAGGGAGGGGACAGTCTTCCCTGGACGCCAGTTGGGTGCGGTATGGGCTGCACAACCAGGCACCAGCGGAACTAAAGAGACTCAAAATGACGGTCAAGTTGAGTGTCTGTTTTGAAATGAGCCAATCCTAAACAATACGACACTGTTTTGTAAAAGGGTTTGTCTGCATATTCACATAATTGAATTTGAAGCTATCAGGTCAAAAGCAACAAAAATAATATCCACTTGCCCCAAAAGAATCCTTGCTGTCGCCAATTAATCTAAGCAATTACACAGTGAATTTACGGAAACGCTTGTGGTAAACGTCTCTCTCAGGTCAGGCCGGGTCAGGTCGGAGGCGGGAAGGGGGGGGGGGGTGCGTGACAGCGCTCCCTGACATGGGACCCGTCCGTGACTCCCCATCTGTCCTGTACTAGTGACACCGGCGACCCGCCCTCAGTTTCCGGGGTGGAACGTCTGTCAAAACGTCAGTCCGATAGGCGCCTGGCTGAAATATCTATCCCCGAGATCGGGGATCCACGTGAGCTAACGCACGGACTTGGCTTCAATCACGCTGCGTTCGGAAATGACAAGGCAAGGAGCCGGCGTGGGATCGATCCAGAGATAATGCTGACATTTTGACAATTTCGCCATGTGAATTATTGCGCTCATTCTCCATCATCAAACCAACCAATTTCCCATGGCAGTCAAATATGACGAAAAATAATTTATGTTCATTTCTTTTTCTTCTTTTGTTTCGAGTTCAGGTTTGGAAACAAATTTACACGGCCAGATGCTCCGTTACCTATATGTAAATGATCTAAAATGAGCCCTAAAAACTAGCTTATCTCTGCAAGTAATCATAACCCTACCTCCCTTAATGCGGCCCACAAAGCTTGCACTTGTCGACAGCCGCCCAACAAAAGGCGCGTTCGGTAAATCCCATAACAAAACAACTGTATCGCCTCTCCCATCAACACAACCACGAGCCAGTCTCACCCCAAAATCTCCCTCTGGCTAGAACAGGTGTCTCCGCGCCCGGGGGAGACATATCTCCGCCATCTCCCATCTCTTCCACCCATCTCCGAACCTCACATATTCACTTGTGCCGAGTGATCTGTGCCGATATCTGGCAACCTGACCCCGCCGTCTGGCAACTGGAGCCGGCGCCGGCCCCACGGGAGAGCACTGTTGAAAGGTGGATAGTGAAGCCGACTGGTTAGTTGCGCGATGGTACTGGTGATTAGAGGAGGGCACGCTTCGAGCTGTTAGTGGGAGAAGTGGTGACTGAAAGAGGATGTCACTGGGAATGATGTCATCGAGTGTCATGGTTGAAGTCGGGAGGTGGCAGCAATGAGGCATTTGTACCACCGAATGTGGCAATAAATTTGAGCTTGACAATTTATCTTGAACAATAACTTGAGTGTTCTTTCTTTCCCCACTACAAACATAACTTGCAAATGAATAAATGTATCGTCAAAACAATTTAATGTTTCAATCAACTAGTGCAATTCCAACTTTCCGAGACCGCAGTACCATACCAATGCACCATGCCAATATACTGATGCAAATGTTATCTTATTGCAAACAGGCGAGGAAAGCAAAAGAACACTTGTTTCCAATGCACGCGCATGGATGATTCAAATGAACGCCTCATCTCACAATTCAGCATTACAATGATTCAGCGCTCATTCGTATCCTCCTACCCCCACCAGCCGTTCCACCGGTCTCCGCCGTCCCATCCCATCGACATCGACGACCCGGCCTCGTCGGCTCCGACGATGTCGGGGAAGTCGGCCGGGCTCTCCGGCAGCGGAGGTGCCCTCGGCAGAGAGGCCAGTGCTCCAATCGTGACCATTTCGGAGACGGATGAAATGGCAAGAGTCGATGGGTTGACCGAATGGATGCGCCATTGGGAAGGATATGAACGCCGAGGAAGAAATATCCGTTCATTTTTTAGAGATAAATAATTGGAGTAATGAATAAAAATATAACTTACAAAATAAAAACTGAAAATTCTGAGAGAGACACAGAGTCAATATGGTCAATGTTTCGAAGACCGATTTTCAAAGGCGTTCATGAAGAAAGACCTCGCCTCGATTTACTTACGAAAATAAAATCCATAACATTGAATGAGTTTGCCAGTACCTTCAAGGTAATTTATGTCGCATTTCATTTAGCCACGCCGCTTTATTTCAGAGCTACTAAGTCAGGACAGGGTCTGCAGGCACCTGGGCGTGACAAATCTCAGTGCACTTCCAGTGAAACATGGGCCCGTTTTGCACGTCTAGCAGTGATGCCGTTATAACCCATAAGGTATGTTACAGACGCCATCTGGGTTTCACGCAACTAGCACCCCAATGCTTCGCTGTGAAATTGCGAAAAAGTTCCTAAGTCTTAAATCCTGTGTGTTCCA